GCCATGAACGGGGCCGGCGTCGTCTACGCCTCCGTGAGTCACCCCAAAAACCCCAAAATCCACCCCAAAACCCCGGAATCCACCCCAAAAACCCCAAAATCCACTCTAAAACCACCAAAAACCACCCCCAAAATCCACCCTGGGACCCCTCAAAACCTCCTGGTACCTCCCAGGTGTGTACCCCAGGTGTCCCCAGCTGTCCCCAGGTGTCCCCAGGTGACCCCCAGGTGTCCCCAGGTGTTCCCCAGCTGTCCCCAGGTGTTCCCCAGGTGTCCCCAGGTGACCCCCAGCTGTCCCCAGGTGTCCCCAGCTGTCCCCAGGTGTCCCCAGGTGTTCCCCAGCTGTCCCCAGGTGTCCCCAGGTGTTCCCCAGGTGTTCCCCAGGTGTCCCCAGGTGTCCCCAGGTGTTCCCCAGCTGTCCCCAGGTGACCCCCAGGTGTCCCCAGGTGCACTTCACGCCCGAGTGCCGTTTCAAGGAGTGCGTGTTCGAGAACTACCACGTGCTCTACGCCTCGGCTCTGTACCGGCAGCGCCGCTCGGGCCGCGCCTGGTACCTGGGGCTGGACCGGCACGGCCGCCCCATGGCCGGGCCCCGCGTCCGCAAGGACAAGGCGGCCGCGCACTTCCTGCCGCAGCTGCTGGAGGGTGAGCGGGGAACCCCGAAATCCCGGGGTTTGAACCCAAAATCCTGGGGTTTGGGACCCCGAAATCCCGGCCTTTCAACCCAAAATCCTGGGATTTGGGACCACAAAATCCTCCGGGACCCCGAAATCCCGGCCTTTCAACCCAAAATCCTCTGGGACCCCGAAATCCCGGCCTTTCAACCCAAAATCCTCTGGGACCCCGAAATCCCGGCCTTTCAACCCAAAATCCTCTGGGACCCCGAAATCCCGGCCTTTCAACCCAAAATCCTGGGGTTTGGGACCCCGAAATCCTCCGGGACCCCAAAATCCCGGCCTTTCAACCCAAAATCCTCCGGGACCCCGAAATCCCGGGGTTTGAACCCAAAATCCTCTGGGACCCCAAAATCCTCCGGGACCCCAAAATCCCGGTGTTTGAACCCAAAATCCCGGGGTTTGAACCCAAAATCCTCTGGGACCCCAAAATCCTCCGGGACCCCGAAATCCTGGGGTTTGAACCCAAAATCCTCTGGGACCCTGAAATCCCGGGCTTTCAACCCAAAATCCTGGGGTTTGGGACCACAAAGTCCTCTGGGACCCAAAAATTCTCTGGGACCCCGAAATCCCGGGGTTTGAACCCAAAATCCTCTGGGACCCCGAAATCCCGAGGTTTCAACCCCAAAATCCTCTGGGACCCCGAAATCCCGGGGTTTCAACCCAAAATCCTGGGGTTTGGGACCCAAAAATCCTGGGAATTGGGAGCCCAAAATCCTCCGGGTGTGGGAATCCAAAAATCCTCTGGGTTTGGGGCCAGGAACACAAAATTTGGGATTGGGGCTGGGAAATTTGGGGTTGGGACCCCGAGATTTGGGTGGGATTTGGGTGGAATTCGGGGGAGTTTGGGCATCCCTTCCTGAGGGAATTTGAGTGGGATTTGGGGGGGATTTGGGGGGGATTTGGGTGGGATTTGGGGGGGA